CAATCCAAGCATGAGAGAACGCTGTGTGTTCTCCAGCAAAATGAATCCTGCCCTCATTCCTAAAGAGCTCAGTAGCGTACTCCAAGTGCTGATAGGGGGTGAAAAGAGCAAAGGCCCCATGACTGTATGGATCCTGGCTCCACTTCTTAACCAGAACACCAGTGCAGAGAGACCTGACGCGCTCACCGTGCAACAGGACCAGGTCTCTGAGAACCAGTTCTTTCAGCTCTTCATCGCTTGCGCCGAGAAAGAGGAGGGAGTCATCAGACCAGGTGTAGGAGGCCAGGAGGACGCCGATGGAGTCATTTCCTGGGAAACTGTGGCTCGGGTAATAGATGAAGCGTGATGGTCGATCTGTAATGCTCTTGCCTCCTCTGATTCCATCTGCCTCCCAGAACCTTTCGCTGAAGGTCAGAAGGATTTTAGTGGAGCTGTCATAGTGAACGGAGGTCAGGGCTTCCATCTTTTGGATGGAGAGCGGTGGGTCGAAGTCCATGTAAAGAGCTGCTTTCGTTGTTGTGGTCACCAAGACAAAGTCAGCATTAATGTGGCTTAGAGAGGACTCTTGATCTGTCTGGTAGAAGACGGTGACGCCTTCATGTGAATGTTTGATACGCTGAACCCTGGAGTTCAGGTAAATAGGGACATCAAGCAGTGTCAGAAAAGCGCTGGGAAGGAGGTCTGACCCACCAGCCACCTCATAGTACCTGAAAAACAAGAAAGATGGAGGTTTTTATAATAATGAATACTGACATGTAAAACAATGAAGCGAAAATTCTATCACTTCTTACCAATCAACTATGGAGGCACTCTTTTATGAAGCTTTAAAATTATGAAGCCTAAATGTAAATTCAATATGGACGACTCTTATCAGCTTCACCTAAATCGCCTGCAATGTCCCTTGTTCAGCTCTAGCCAATCAACTGGGGGGGGGAACACCTTCTCCGAAGCCAATCATCTTTTAAGATCCCCTTTATTTAGCTTCTGGCCTATGCTGCAAAAATTATCTAAAAATAAGTATAAATGTCTTAAATTATTTGTATTTACCCTTAATTTGAGTAGGTAGATAATATGATTTGCCAATGGAATGAGTATTTTTATTCTTAAAATAAGATAGTCAGATATTATGTACTTGAAATAAGACAATGCCATTGTTTTTTTCTTATTTTAGATGTCAATTGTCTTGTTCCATTGGCAAAGTGTCTCCTCAATTCAAGGAAAAATGCACTTATTTTAAGAAAGAAATTACTTATTTAGATTTTTTTCTTTGGCAGTCTAGCTTCTTTCTCCCACATGCAAACAAACTTTCACCCACCTTCACCCAATCTCCCTCTTTCTCAGTCCCCCTCACCCTTTGGCTTATTCCACCACCAGTGTCCAGGCCAAGGGGGACTACACTCATCATTTTATTAGGTTACACAACAAACCAAATGTTCATAGCGTCTATGTCTTCTGCCGGGGCCAGAGCGCCAAATAACTTATTTCTTCCATGTTAATATCTGGATATCTGCTTCTGTCTCCTTGAACCTCAGTCTGCCTGCTGATGGCCGCTCACACTGAGCCTGGTTCTGCTAGAGGTTTTTTATCCTGTTAAAAGGGTGTTTTCTTCTCCACTATCGCTACATGCATGCTTAGTGCAAGGGATTGCAGAGTCAATGAGTCGATGCAATCATCTGGGTTTCCTTAGGTAGAAAACCTAAGGAATCTTACTTTGTTACCTGTTGAAATAAATTGAGCAGCTTTTCTCTGTGTGAGTCGCTCCAGGTTGAAATTTATACATCTTAATGAAAAATAGCATTATATTAAACAAAAACTAAACTCACAGAAATTAACTGATCTGGACATCCCAAGATCAACAGAAATTTGATAAATTAGGTTTATTCATGCTGTTTTTTAAATGCTTTGCTTAGCTAAGAAAAACTGTCAGGTGTGCATGTAACAAAACTTAACAAAGTCTGTAAAGAAGAAGCTGATTCCAGCAATAAATCCGGAAATCGTCAAAGTAAAATATGTCCTACCAAAGAACAAAAATTGTCTTAGATCAGAGATGCTTAAATTCAGTCATCAGGAGTTGCAAACTTTTAGATGCATTAATTCTTTCTAACACACCTAAATCACATTAATATTTTACCACCAGGCCTCTACAGAGTTAAATAACATTCTAGTGAGGGAAGTCAGCTGTTTGATCAGGTGTGTTGGAGCAAGGATGGATCTAGACATTTTAATGTGGTAGGTCTCAAGGAATGGACTTGGCCATCCCCTCTTAGGCCCTGTCTTAACTCTCACACTGCCTCCTGGGTCCATCTTAACGAGGCACAGAAAACAATCCATCCCTGTTTTTGCAGTCTTACTTTGATGCCCTTTTAGCTGCAGTATGGATCAAGGGAGCATAGAGGGTATAGCAAAAAACCACTCTGAATACCTGGGACACACTCATACCCATCAGTAGGAAAGTGCAATTAAAGCAAATCAGGGCATAAAAGTGAGAACTGGGAATGTCCTTAGAGTCACAACACAGCTCTAAAAAACTGAATCTAACTGAACCACAACAGTCAGTTTCACTATCAATTTCATAAACCCTGATGTTTTCCACACCCACAGCTTTACTGTGGTTCTGTGGTGGGATCTTTACACAGCTGTAAAAGAAATAAAAGATGGCAAATTCCAATTAAATAAACTAGGCTTGCAAAGAAACATGGGTCATCATTCTTCCATAACATCTGATCTACAGGGTATTAGGTGGAGTTATTTCGCACACACTGCTTCTGTCATTTTTTTTTACCTATATTATTAAACATTCAATTATTATTATTTTTTATTGTTTTGGAATATATGTTCCATTTTTATTTATTTCTCAGACACCTCAGTCTGGCTTTACATCTTCCCCACTGAGCAAGTTCAGGCAAATCAGCAGATTCCTCAGCTATGATACAGAAATCAGGTTTTGTTTGCCTGGAATGGCAGAGAGCCAGAGGAGAAGGTGTGGGTGATAAAAGGAGGGCGCTATGCAGAAATAACAAAGCTGCAACTGCAGTTTACATGAGAAAACGTATAGTGAAAGCTTAGACGTCTGCTGAAGCGTTGCAATCAACTGCTATTGCAAGAATTAAAGTAGACTTTACCAAATAAACCTGTTTGTAACCCATAAATATACGTTTTTCTTTATCTTTTTGAGAACCTTCATTTATTTTTAAACTCATTTGATTTTAATTTCCAACTCTAGATAGGCAATATTGCACATGTAAATCAGATGAGAGATTCTGCCCTTAAAGGGGTTTTTTAAACAGATTTTGCCCTTTTAGTTTTCCTTACGTGACGTTATCACTGATGTCCGTTTGGTCATAAATCATCTCACTGAGTGCTGTGTACATGAGGCTCTGTTCATTCAAAAGTACTCCGATCATCCGGATGGCCTCAAGGCTCAGATTTCCTTCTTCTTTCAAATATTCCTGTTAGAAAAAGGGAAAAGCAAGATATTCTTGTTATGCTACTTTTGTTTTATCCCCAAATTTGAAAAGCCAAAACGTGTATTGATAAATACAGCAGTGTGAAAAAAGGCTGGAGAGTTCATCTGCCTTAAATAAATTGGTTTCAGTTTTTTTAGTTTAATTAAGAAGCAGTGGACTTCTTTAGTTATGACCTCAAGTGAGCTTCGTGATATAAGAAGGGTATGCAATTACAAATGTTCTTTGAATGGCAAAACTTTAATACAAAGGTTTTTTTCTGAGATTCATATTGCATATAAAGTATGTAATTTAAGGCTGAGGTTATTCATTGCCGCCATTACCAGGAGGTAATGACAGTATTGAATTTCCAGAACATTATTTTAATTCATACTGTACATTTTTTGGGGGGTTAAATTATATTTAATTCTCTGAAAAGCAGATCTGTTCACTTGTGATGTGGTCGTTTTTTAGACTGAGGATTTTATCTTAAGTGGAAACCTTTCCCATTGTTCACAAACTTTGACACTTGTCCTTTATTTAGCCTGTTCAATTAAATGATGCAGTGTGTTACCTTAACTGAGTAGTGATCATATTTTTTGAGGGCAGCCACACAGCCATGTGCTTGCACTTCATCTTTTACCTACAAAAAAGAAAGAAAAAAATTGAGATCATGGAAGAAGCAGAAGTTGAGATTTTATAGCTGCTGAGGTAAATATCTGTTCCTTTTTTTCCTTTTCCTTTTTATCCTTTTGGGCTTTTCAAGAAAATGCAAATTACAGGAAATTGGGATCTTTTCATAGTACATATGAACTGATTGAGATCAAACCAATCTAAATGCTATATAAATTAAACTAGATCTTTTGGTCAGTTTGTAATAATTATCTTTCTAGATGTTCTAAAGATTGTAAACACAATGTTGCCAACAGGAAATATAAAACCTTCTGGGCTGCAAATGAGAAGGTTCTCTTCAGAGCAACTGACAAGGTGTTTTTGTTTTAGAAGTACACAAACTTGTTGCGTGACTCCAGGCTATTATATGCATTGCATGACATAACATGCCTTGGCTCTGCACATCCATACCAAACAGTTGATTTCTATCTGTAAGCGTATGCAGATGATAAGGATTTACACATACCTTTAAATGCACTAACTTGAGAAACTACATTATTAGCAATAATTCAACTTTTTAAAAAAATGCAAAAAAGTAGGATTTATGCTTTATTTACTGTCCTGCAATGGATGATTTCATGGTGTGAGGGCAGACATGCAAACAACTAAATTAAAGTAGACATGTACCGTACACATAAAACTAAAAAAAAAAAACTAAAAAAAAAAAAAAAAAAAAAAGCAGAAAAGTCAAAAGGTTAGAATAGACTGTAGAGGAAAGGAAAACCTACATTTCAAGAATCATTTAAAGAAAACAATTGTAATATTAAATGAAATGTCCACAAAGAGGGTATGGTATTTAAATATCTAATCAGCTTTCTGGGAGCAGTGAAAACCATTAAGGGAGGAAGGTACTGTCATAGCGCCCCTTTGTTCCCTTAGGGTTCTGCAGTTCTTCAGTATCTATGGCGCTCTCCAGTTCTGTAACAGCTTAATGAACGATATAGAATACACTATGCTACATGTTACAGTATTTGAGTTAGGATCCTCCTGTCCCCTACTAGTAGATAGTAGAAAGTAATTTAAATCTGCTGACTAAAAAATTATTTTTAGAGGGGAAAATATAAGTCATGTAAATGTGTAAATATTTCCTTTTATAGTGCAACACTATCAATATAATACTTTGTGTGAGGGATTACTGAAGAGTCAACGGCTAAATGCAAGCGAAAATCATCATTGAGAGGACGCATGTGAACATCTGGTTCGGAATATTTTTATAAAATCTACTTCTAATTTAATTAAAAGGTACTGAAGATATATGTGTAATTACCTCAAGTCATTTTGTTGTCACCCCATGTTTAAATGAGGCTGCAGAGACCTTTTTGTCTTTGATGTTTATTGTTCTTTTGTGCAGAATTTAAACTTTTGGATATGTGGCCCAAGATTGCAAAGTCTGCTTTCATTTGAGAATTGTGAACAGGCCTAAAGGGTTTTCAATTTTTTGTTTTGGGCAAAAGGTTCATAGAGTCATAGAGCAATTCAATAGATTAAATGTAAATTTCACTACTTGTTGTATGATGACTAACCTTTTCTGTCACTTTTTCAATATAAGAAAGACTGAGCAAATCTGAAGAACATACTTTTTCTTAACTATCAAGGGGAGATCATTTTCATCTTTTCCACCAACATTTTCTCATTCCAACATACCTTTTGCAAAGCTTTTTGTAGCAGATCATCAGCTGACATCCCCTTCTCGCTCTTTCTTACATTGTAGTTGAGGATATCAGGGTTTGCTTTGACTGCATAGGTTCTTTTCTTGACCCCATTGACCAAATAGAAAGTGTTGTTGTCATCCATTGTGAACTTGTTCAGCTTTACACCCAGCTGTTCTGCAAACCAAAGGACGATGCTGTTGGCAAAACAGGTGACAGTGATTGATAAGCCTATTATTAGAGATAAAACATTTTGAGGAATAGTGGCATTTGAGTTTGCTGAAAGAGACAATGGTTTTAGTATTATGTCTTGAACATAATTCTTGTTTAGGTTTTTTTTTTAAAGACATTTTCCTATCCATTCTAATCATATGTCATATTAGTTGCAGCACTTTAAGCTTTTTCTAATTAAATCTCAAGATGGTTTGATGACATAAAGACTTTGTTTATAAAACCTACCGGTGAAAACTTGGGATTCTCATGGCCCCCAGTTCAGCATACCATCCTTCGTTTTTATTCCTGTAGGTTTCAACTCGTCCACCAACTCGACCACTGGCCTCTATTATCGTCACCTTGTTTAAATAAATAAATGTAAGCTTTAGAGGAGCTTCAGAGTCTGTCTTTCAAAGTTACACATTCAAATTTTACACAAATTGCTTAAAACTGTATGAAAAAATAAATAAATATTGAACTACTTTTGGAAAGAGTTAGCCAACTTAGAGTGAACAAATCAGGGATTTTCTTCTTTTTTGGCCACTACTTATTGGTAATCACATGATTACCATTTAGCAATACTTACTCATATGATTACCACTGTTTGCTCAAGGCTCTTGAAAAAAGCAGTAACTTTTTTTTGCTGTCAAAGAGATTTTTGGTCGACAGTAGCAGCCAATTCAAAATGGCCCTTCCCAGCAAGACTCCAGCCGTATGGCAGCCCACTTCCCACCAACCCCCAGTGAAACCCCGCCCAACTTCCAGCCACTGGAGTGAACCCCTCTTGCATATTTCTTTACTCTGACTCCACCCTTTCACTGAATTATAAGGTCTGACTAGGAGATGATGCTTCTCTTTAGATCTTAATGTCCGCAATTCATGAGAGAAAGAATATTTTAGTACAAAGATTGATGTTTTAAAAGGAATTTTAGGGGACCGGCCAATGGCTCATCACGGAAAGTGAGGAAATATTTTTAATGGCTTCTACTCTAAACAATACAACAGCTACCCCACAACAGGCTAGCATAGACTCCAGCGCACCCACCCTTAACAAGCTAAGAGGCTATAGAAAATGTGTGCCTTACCTAAAAGTTTGATTTAGACTAGAATATTCCCTCATAGGTGAAGTTTTCATAGCATAATATTAAACTTTCGTGAATCTAGAATGTACAGTAGTGGTTGGGTTACACATACCCGGTGTCCGGCTTCTTGAAGCAGTCTAGCTGCTGTCAGTCCAGCCATGCCAGCTCCCACAATAACTACATGATTAGAGGTGTTAATGTGAGGGAGGCCATTTTTTGCTGTTTCCAGCAGTTCATTGTAGTCTTTGTCCTTCAAGCATTCGGCCAGACTTTCCTTCAGACTGACAGCAGTGATGTGGCAGCAGCATATAGTCAGCAGCAGCAAACCAATGGCAACTGGATACACTAATTGAATTAAAACACTGATTAATTAAAAATGGCATAACTGATTGAAAGCACTGTCAAACTATTAAAGCTAATGTGCAGTTTGGCAACATTTGGAACTTGTATAATTCATCCCTAAATAATGCTAAAAAATCAAAACTGTTACTTTTTGAAATGTCACATAAGGACATAAGCTCAATCTTAAAGTAGTTCACATGATTTGAGCAATAATGAAAAATCCAAAATTGTCATTTTAACCTCAAAGTCACAAAGCAGAACTATAGATTCTTCAGTGGTTTTTCCTGCAGACAGGAAATAACGACACTGAAGTGAGATTGTTGATATTAACTTTAAAAAAAATGGAAGGTAATATCTTCATTTTTCACTTTGCTTCATTAATACATATATACAAATTTTCCCAACTCTTTAGCTGATATGCAGACTAAGCACTTATCAATTATCTTAAATGTAATACTTACATAGTTTGGATTTTTCCACATGCCGTCCCATCTTGGATCTCAGATTTTGTTTTCTATCTTCTTTGATAAACATATTCAAACAGAAATAAGGTTGTTTAAAAAGATTAAGCCTGGCCTATAAATGACAAACATTTGAACCAGGGAATTTCTACGATTCATTAGGCATAATTATATTTAAAGGTAATTTGATTGATGTTTTATAAGAAATTTACCAAAAAATTTCACATGAAAATCTCTTGCATTTTTATCATTACATTCACAGATATATTGCATCAAAGATTGAAATGAAAAGAATAATAATAATAAAATTGATCATCATTTAAATGTATTTTCTTCCTACAATTAACAGAGAGACAAAATGAGAAAAAAAAAAAAAAATGTTTCTCAGGGTTCAGGTGTGGTAGTACTTGTTACAGAAAGTAATTGCCAAAAAATATCTCTGGACTGGCTATACAAGAATAAACAAAAACAAATAAAATTATCAAATTTTGATTGAGAAAAAATGTAATATTCACAAAAGTAAATTTAAATATTTATATTAAAGAGATAGATGTTTCTCACCTACAGTTGACACGCAGTTACACTTGTTCGAAAGGTTGTGACAAACACTTTCAGTTTCTGCTGGATTTAGTTTAGCCAAGCAAGCTAGGCTGCATGATTGTATGACTCATGGTTTACACAGCCTTCCCATTCATCCTTTATCGAGACACAGTGTTACGTGAAAATAAACAGATATTACGACCCATAAAACAAAAATGCACATCAGTGCCAATAAAGCTTATGTTTATGTTGTTGTTTTTTGAATTTATGTTGAAGTCAGACTCTTGGTGTAGAAGTCGGGGCATGGTACCTGCAAATTTTATCTCCCTGACTACTGTATTAAAGAAAAGTTCAAAGAGTAGGGAGGACCTAGAGAGTCACTAAAAAAGAAAAAAGCAATTTCAAATTAACATTTCAATCAGGCAATTTGAATAGTATTTTCTAATTGCACATTTCAAATTAATAAAGAGTAATTGTAAAATGTATTTATTAATCCATCATTAAATACTGTGATTTGTAAATGTATTTTCAAATCATATTTCTAAATGATTTAAAAACACAATTCATGAATCTGGTTATAAATACTTTTCTCTAATCATACATGTTTATAAAAGATAAACATGTATGATTAGAAAAAAAGTTAAACCAATCACAGTTGTTCCTTGGATATAACCAGCTCTCTGATTAGTTAGACTGCCTCACAAAATATTCTTTCGAGAGTGAAAACAGTGAAATCATGAAATAGTTCAGGGACTGTTTGTCAGAGATGGCAAAAGTACTCACTTTCCATACTTGAGTAAAAGTACAGATACTTGTGTAAAAAAAAATACTCTGGTAAAAGTGGA